CTCCCGGGTGCCTTCCCGGGGAAGGCGGGTATTGCAGGCGCCGCGGGGATTTGCTGCTCAGATAAGGAGCTGCAGGCGGATAATGGCTCTTGGAAAGCCGAGCGCTGCCCGCCACTTCAGCTGGGGGAGTGGGGGGGAAGAGAGAGGGACTGCCTGGGAATCAGCCTGCACGGCCGGGCGGGATTACTGGAATGGTGCGGGGGAAATAATGCTGCGTGGCTGGATGGGGTCCAGGAGAATAGTTTAGTCCAAGGAAGAGCTAAATCCACATAGAAGAGTAAGATCCTCTCATCACCAGAGATCTTGGAAACGTTTCTCTTTGAAAAGGATGACCTACTGTTAGAGAAAATAGGGATGCAATACGTTCTAGAGCATATGAACTTTCATTACTGGTTGCAACTACCTCTAACAAAAGCATGTTATTAGTTGCTTAGGTAATGAGTACAAGAAACACGGCCCTTTTGGCATGTCCTTTCAGCAGTTTGGATTGGTTTAGGAACCCGGTTGTACTGGCTGTTTCTCCCTTACGTGTGTGTTAGCCTTGCAGACGCTTGAACCAGGCAGCTTGCAGAGTAGTCCCGCTGATCCATCCCATGAGTAAGGGAAATGGTCTGGGCCGTCCACTACTGCGTAGGCAGCCCCAACTGGTGGATGGTTTTGTAATTTCCATGAACGGGTTCTCTCATATCGGAACAACTTTATTATCAGTACTTGAGCTGCTTAATTCCTCCTTGCTTCAGTAGCAGTGGTTTCAGACTTGGTAATGGAGTGTGGTTGGTACAAAGCTTGGAAACTCTCAGGTCTTCCTTTCTGAAAAAATAGTTTGCTGCTGTCATTTATGACTTTTTTTTTTTCTTTTTCATCCAGGCAAGCATTAAGTGTATGTAAGGCTGTTGAAATTCAGTTTTTCTGGAAATGTACAAGTATATTTCATTATGTCTCAGTGATACTTGTATATTTTGCCAAAATTATAGAAACACAGTTCTTAACACATCTCTACCCTAAAATCCACTCAAAGTGCTGCCCATCAACACATCAGAACCCATCAGAATATTTGATCCTTCACAGACTCCTTCTCTACCACTTAATAAATGGAAACTATATGGCTTCATTTTATTGCTGTTCATTATTTGGCTATGCATATGTAGATTTACACCTTCACACCATTGGAAGTGCAGCTGCTGATTTCCCAGGTGCTGTTTTATGTGTGTTTTCCCTTGACCACATTCTGCATGTGAAAAACTTGTGCATGCATGTAACAGTGTATTTAACAGTAGTAAAATATTTTATCCGATTTTAATTTCAAGAATTCCTAATATTTAGGACTTATCCAAATTCGGATGATGGTATCTTTCCCAAATGGCCTGTTTTACTTTTAGCCATAATGTCAGTATTAACTTTATTCCTGACAGAATAAAAGTCTCGTGTGACTGCAATGTCTGCATTTCGATACTTAAATAAGATGACAAACTGTTAAAAATATAGAGGACTCAGTAACTGACTTTGAATTCAGGGGAAACAGTTTAGCGTTTGGCACTTCTGAACCTAGCTTTAAACTCCTTTCTATGACAGTCTTGTCCTTTATATATAGTAGAGATTGTGGCAACTTCTGAGACAGAGCATACTTCTTTCTAGGTCAGACAACACAATGTACAATAAGGTCTGTTCAAGCCTGCAGAAACATCTTCATAGTTAACAACTTTCTCGGTACTGGTCAGTATTCAGCATGCTCATTGTGAGTCTACAATGTTCTAAGTTTTGCTCATCCTGCTAATTTCCAACTCTGCTTTTAATGAGCATGAAGATTGGACAGTATTTTACCCTTTTATCCCATATGTTTTTTCAGATTTTCTGGATTTCTGTTTTTCTGGGTCAATTGTGCACCTGAATGAAACCTGCATATATTGCTGAATTCAGGTCAGGATGCATTTGCACACTAGAAGTGCAATGTCTCAACAGTAGTGTGTTATCTCAGGGTGATATTATGAGATAGTTTACTTTGTTACTTACTCTCTTTTTTGTTGCATTTGCTATTTTGGTAAAATAGACTTGTATTAGATAAGATTTTTCCCTCAACACATTTTATTCTTGGATGATTTTACATTTTCTTCCATCCAGGCTTTATAAAGCTGCACAGTTAGTACAGTCTGCTGAAGTAACAGGCCTCCTCAAGTGCACTTACCCTCTCCTGCGGTTTCATTTTAGGTTCTCGGAGCTCTGCGCTGAACTGACACTTAAGTGTGGTAGCTGACATGCCACCAAAGTGGGCTTGCTGTGATAGCCAATTTTTGTAAGTCAAAATAAATTTCACTTCTATAACAACATCTCTTTTTAATTGAAAATTTCAAAGTATTAGTAAAAAGACATTTGGAGGATGCTTTCTTCATTTGTTCATATTTTTTATGAAAACGGTAGTAATGAAATGAATGTTAGTTGGATTATACAATTAACCTTAGATAAAATGTCTCAGGATGAGCAAAAGTGAATAATCACTGTCTGTGGGAACAGGATAGCCTTTTCTATATGGAAAATTTTGTATGTTGTCAATGATAATACCATTGATCTAGTAGCAGTGAAGTTTCATTAGTGCTAGCTGCCTTAGAAGGCCTGCTGCCAAAAGTGTGCAGATATTTTTTGCCTTCATATTACTTGTCCAGGTCTTACAACAGCTCAGCACCAGCTCTGTTTCTGTACTAGCCCTGTACCTGCGCTAGACCAGCAGCGCTGGTCAGAAGCTCTGGGTATTCTCAGTAGTCCCAGTACATAAAAAGAATCTTGTGAAACAAATTATTCAAGTTATTCTGTTTTGTAAAAACATAAATGTTCACTCTGCCTTTGACTTTCTAAGGAACTTATTTAAAATATGAAAAAGAAATCATTTTGAAATGGAAAGTCTTAATACTTTTATTTTCAACTTATTTTTTGTCAAAAACCAGCAAAATTTGTTGAAGTTCTTTTCTTTTTCAAAGATTTTTTTAACAAATAATTTTCCATTAAAAATAGGCCAACAATACAAATAGGATATTTGAAGACATGAATTCGTACCCTAATTATGTTTTGCTATCTTGCTCACATCATGCAGTTGAAGACTTTTCTCATTGATGTCATAGGACTGTAGAACACCTTTGGTTGAAAGGGGCTTCTGGAGGTTACCTCACTCATCCCCCAATTAAAAGCAGATCCAACTATAGCAGGTTGCTGAGGGCCGTGTCCAGTTTAGTTCTGGGCATCTCCAAGGATGGAGATTCTGTAACGTCTGGGCCCCTATTTCAGTGTTCAGCTGCCCTTGTGGTGAAAATATTTTCCTTATATGTAATTGAAATTATCTGTTTTGTTGCTTGTATCCATTGACTCTTACCACTGCACCTGTGAGGAGAGTCTGGCTCTATCTTCTCCGAGTCCTCCTATTTGACATCTGAAGACGGCAATGAGATCCCTTCCAAGTCTGCTGTTTGTCAGGCTGAAACATCCAGTGCTCTTGGTTTGTCCTTGTATGTCATATGCTGCAGTCCCTTCATATCTTGGTAGCCCTGCACTAGGCTCACTCCAGTGTGTCAATGTCTTTCTTGCACTGAGGAGCCCGAAAGTG